AGTTGTAAGGGGTATGATGATAGGGAGATTCTGATGATGAAAAAGAATGAGGTTATTGTTTTAGTGAAATCAAACTGTGATCAGAAGCACCTAAAGGTGAATGTGGAGAAACTGAGCACTGGCTTGGGTTATAAACAAGAAATAAATCTAGTAGAGAAGTTAAATGATTGGTATTGTTTGGAAAACGAGTTGGAAAGTTTAGAAAGCAAGTTGACTATTTGTGTTTGACAACCAAGTGTTATGAGCATTAAACCTAATAACAACAATGATATTGGCTGTAGGATAAAGAGGATATATATATATATATATATATATATATATATATATATATATATATATATATATATATATATATATATACATGTCACTTATACTGTTTTCTAATTACATTTTACATTGTGAAATAGTTAAAATTGCTCTAGTGTTGTAAAGGAGCATTTTCTTTTCTACAAATAGTAGAGCGTTGCTGGTTGGTTGCTGTTCAAGTGAGCTACCATCTCTTGTTCCACCGACCAAATTACAATGTAGGTTATTATCAGCAAAATTGCATCCTTTTGCTGTAACTGTTTCTTTGTGCTCGAAACACTTTAATTTATTTAGTTTTTTTCAATGCTTTAGAATTCTTTCCAGTCTTTTATATCAGTTCACTTTTATATTAATTATTATCCTGACTCATACATTTTACAGTTTTTTAAGTCTTCTATTATTTTCTTACTCTTTATTCAGTCTTTACTGGTCTTCTAACGTAATTCCTAACTAAAACAGTGGTTGTATACAGCCTTGTTTAAAGTCAGTTTGCTTAAAGCAAAATAGTTTCGAGAGTATTGAAGACATTTCTATAAAACACTTTTATGAGACTGTGACAAGAATGTTGTCTGAATCACAAGCTATAGATGTGTTTAAGTGAGAAGTAACTTTAACCATAGATGCCGTAGTAATTGGGATGTCTAACAATGCATTAGCCTGTATCTCTAGAATGTCAAGAGGAGTGGTTGTTAGATTCAGGAGATTAATCAGAGGAAAAGTTCTTTTCAAATAGTTCTGGGAGGGGAGGAGTAAAAAGATTTGAGCCATATATGAGAGATGAAATGTTAGCCTTTGGAATGACAATTACAAAAGTAAAATATTTTCCAAAAATCTCAAGAAGCGTGTTTCTCATATAAAATAGAAAATTTAATAGTATTAGAATAATGGACATTAGACAATAGTTTTTTTAGCATCAACTTCTTGCAATGATAAAAACAATTATTAGAAAAGTTTAGGTGGTAAAAAATATTGAAAATATAGCTTGTTGTCATAAATTGTCATTCTCATATATATTTAAATAAGTTTTTAAAATAAATTTTATAATTATTTTTTCTATTTAAATTGTTTAAAGATGCTTGTGAATCACAATGTTAATTACAAATATCTATAAATAACATTTTAATACGATATAATGCAGCCCTCGGAATTAAGGTCGGCATTTGGCTGACCTCGTTTCTATGTTTTATTAATAAATTGCCTTCCTCCAACAGTTTGAGGTCTGCAATTTATTGCTGACCTCATTTCCCCTAATTTCGACATAGTGCAGGCCACTATGTTCCTTCCTGTGCACATACAAGCCAACTTTTTGTTTATATGAGATCCTTGTATGATAAGGATTTAAAAAAATGACAGGTGTTACTTGATTTACATTTTGCGTGGCAGGTGGTGTGACGTATTTAGTCCCATAGCAACTAAATTTTTTTTTAGCAAATTAATTTTTTTTTTATATACCAATCGAAAGAGCATAAATCAGGTATTCAAAATAATATAAAAAACATGTGTTGAAAGTTTTTACTTAAAAAGATACAGGGGTAAATATGTTTTTATAAAACCGGGGGTAAACCGCTGCTTTGTGATTTTAATAATTTTTAAAATACTTTCTTGAACACGGATTTTATGTTTTTTGAAATTTATTTTTTTCTATTATAATTTAAGAAATATTAGGTATTATAAAATTTATATTACTTTAAACAAATTTTAGGCAAAAATCATTTTTTTCAATCTTCGGATTTTTACAACATTCTACCTGTTTTTATGAAATAGAATATTTCATGTTTGACGATTGTATTATTTTGAATGTTTTGATAATATTATTTTATTTTTACATATTTCGACCCATAAGAGTGCAACAATTCAAATGATTTGTTTTTGTTTTTGGCTTTTAAAAACGTTTCTATACTGTGTTGTTGCTGTTTCACATATTAAATATTATTAACAAATGGAGGACGAAGAACGAAAAAAATAGAAAACTTATTTTTTACTTTACTAAATGCAATGTTTGCCCGTAGGATGATAGTAAAAGTATTTCTTTGATTTAGATATTATTTCATATATCTACGTAAAAATATAAATGTACGTGTTTTTACATCTCTTATCCTTTAAAAATACAATTTGGTGCATTTTAGATATATTCTTTAAGTAGTTCTTAAAAGTGTCACCTAGCAATTAATAAATTTATTTTCTGATTATAAAAACCAGTTCGTGTGATGCTTTGGAAAAACTAATGGTATGTTTAAGGCAAAGTTACTCATGACCCAGAAGCAATAGATAGTTACCAAAAGTTAAGAGAAATACCATGTGAAGAACTAAATGAAAAAGGTGTTTATCACTCAGAATGATACAAAAAGTTCACCTACTGAAAAAATTTGCAACGTTTGCTTGAACAACACAGTATATTTGTTGCAAGCAATCCTGAAACTAAACCCATAGAAGACATAAGTTAATCAGAAGATTCAAGTCAAATGTCAAAAGGTAAAGGAAAATTGCTCCATTTAAAAATCTCAAGTCTACAACAAAGAGCTTTGTATTATTTGCCAATGTAAAGGTAGTGAATTTCAAAAAATTGAGTTTACAGAGACTGGGAAACAAATGTTAAAAGTTTCCAAGTGGCTTAATGATCAAGAATTCTTCCTTAGAATGAACACTATTCCAAATTCTGATGACGCCGTTGAAAATGATGTTAAATACCACTTAAAGTGTTGGGTAACAGTGCAGAGATCTGTTAAATTGACAAGAAAAACTGTTAAACAGATCTGTTAAATTGACAAAAGCAATAAGCAAATCTCACATCTCAAAAACGGATGTTTTCTGAATTGTTACTGAAACTTTTTCAGTCGGCCTTGGATTACATGTGCATAAAGAAACAAGAATAAGAAGCTGGTGAACTGCTTGGCATATCTTGGACTATTTCCTATGATAGTGTTATAAAGATCGAAAACGGTTTAGGAAACGCTGTTATTGAAAACATATCAATAAATTGATGTGCATTTGTACCTCCTTATATTCAAATAGGAATGCCATTGCAATTTGCTATTGATAATATTGACTTTAAGAACGACACTGCTGATGGAAAATCTGAATTTTATGAAACCACTTATGTTGCATTTTAAAATAATTCAAATGCTAAAGGAAAGATGCTTAAGATACAGCATACAAAGTATCTTACATTTGTACATGCACCTGTCTTTATAACGCATAGTTGTGCTATACCAAATCCACCCAATGAAACCTTTCAAGATTTTGAATCTCCACATTTTTCACCATTGGTCGAATTTGGGCTTTTTTAATGTGATTGACAAGGAATTTAAATTACCAACATGGAATTCTTTTAACTCCTTTCTTTCGGATGCTCCTACATCTACGGCAACACAGGGTCTACTGATACATGCAGGAACACCGACTGATTGGAGTAACCTTTTCACTGCATTAAGGCTTGTTCAGAGAATTAACGTTGCCGTCACAGGGAGCAAAAAAATACAATTGTGACCCTTGATCTTCAACTCTATTCAAAATGCATGCAGCTACGACAAAATAATGAAATCAAAGAAAATTTCATTTTTCGACTTAGGGAACATAACGTGATTGCATTTTTAAAAGTTATTGGAAAGTATATTGGTTCCTTTTCTCTAAATTTCAGTATGACGCTGCACAACTTCCACCAACAATGAATGTCCTTAAGTACTATATATTCCGTAGTCACTTATGTTTAGTGCTTAAACGCTCTAACATGCCCGTATAGTATCTGCCATCGCCTGTGGAGTATGGTTCGGAACTAAACAATGGGTATTTTAACCCTGTAATGACTGATAACCTGCCAGCACCAATAGCAGTTATTGAGTTAAGCGTCTGTAAAGGAGACTAGCAATAAAAGGTGCAAATGTTTGAAAAATAAACTTGTCTGCACTGATATGTGCAAGTGTAAAGGATGTAAAAATAATAATGTAGACGACCAAAAGGAAAACTATGACAATGAATGAAATAAGACGCAATTTAATTTATTCGTATTATTAAATACCAGCTTGTAAGCACGTTAGTTTTAACATATATTGTTAAAATTTAAGAATGAAATCTTAGAATATTTGAAGCTTTCTATTCAATAAATGTCTTTAATTCCATTTATATTACAAGGTTAATTGACTTAATACTGTCAATTAAATATTTTCCGGGGGTCCTTTTTTCTCTTCATTAAATATTGTGAATTGTAAATTCTATTTTGGTTTACATATGATATTGTTTATATGTTTAAACAATGCCAATATTAATATATATATTAGCTCAATTATTTCAATTTTACTTAATTCATCTTTTATCTAGTGGTAATTTTTGTAAATGACCCTCAATTTGGTAACTTAGATAACATCCTTTATCTTATGAAGTAAAAATTTTCAACATGTTTTTAATATGATTTTGAAAGCTTATTTAATGCTCTTTTTAATGGTATATTAAAATAACGATTAAAATTTTTATTGCAATGGGGCCTATTACGTCATACCACGTGACAAAACCATAAATATTAAGTGACACCTGTCACTTTTCAAATCCTTTTCATACAAGGATCTCATATCAACAAAAAGTTTGCCTGTAACACGTATGTGCACACGAAGAGTTATTTTGAAACAGTGACCTGCACTAACGGTTGATAATGTACTTTATAGACATAATCTTGACATAAGTTTTTTTATTTGAAACTTTAGTGCTTTACCATCCTTCAATGAAAAAACTAGAAAAGAAATGGATGAAGATTTAAACAAAGCTAAAGATTTTATCAAAGAATATCTTTAATTTGATCATCAATTTCATTGTTGTGAAATTGATCTTTATTTTGATTTATAGAATGAATTTTTTGTATTGAATTTTTTGTATTGAGTTTTGCTCGTTTTTATTTCTTGTGTTTTTTTGTAAACGAATTTTTTTCAAATCATGCTTTATAGATTTTAATATTTTATAGATTATTTAGACTTTTTAAATATTATATAGACATATAAATACACATTTTACATTTTTTGTAAATAATGTTGTTATAATTAGTTATAATTTAAACTTCACCTTAATTTCTGTAGTTGTATGTGTCTCGAAAAACGCGCGTGTTTGATTTCTTGTTTTGGTTAGTGAATTTTTATTTATTATTTTTGTTTGTCACTTATACCTATACTTTCATCAAGTTATACCAAGTTTAATTTTCATAAATTTAACCAAACAATCAATTAATCAAAACGATACAGTGAGTCAGAAAGGTGAAAAAAACAGAAAAAAAAGTTGTATAATTATCATACATAAACAGCATTAATACTATCGTATTTTGGGTCAAAAAATTTGAGTTCGCTATTAAAAATAAATTGTACGCGTAGCTACGACGCGTATCACGCGCGCTTGCGTGTGCTTTTGTCGTTTACGCGCTCAAAGTATGATTCAAAATAATTGAATTAATCGATCCAAAATATCATAATATTTTATATAATATATAGGGCGCAAAAAATTTAGATATCTCAATCCAAATCGCACATATTTTTTAATTAAAAAAAAAAGAAGACAAACTACTAATTAATAATAATAAAAAAGCTTTATTTCGTTATTATGGCATTAACAAAAATTAAACTTCAGGGGAAGTAGTTTTTCTTTTTCAAATTTGTATTTTTTGAAAAAATGTTTAATATTACGGGATCACTTTTAATCAAGAGATATTGGTTTATCATAACATTTTTTCTAGATATCTTCGCTGTAATCTAGTTTTGCAAATTTTCTTACTCAGAGCTTCTGGTGACTCGTCAGAGTATTAACCAATTAGCAGTTCTAATCCCTCGGGTATTTGCGCTCCGTGTTTCAAGAGGTAATGAACAGTTAGAGTAATCACATACCAGTAATAATTTTTAGTACAAAAACTGTAGTTTCATAGCAATACTGGACAAAACTTTCAGAGTTCAACTCGTAAGATGACCTTACTGGTCTTAGGATCGTCCTTAATCTAATAATTACATTAACTCTTACTCCCGTTATATTCCGTTATATGCCAAAACCCTGTTTGGGCATATCAACTATAAGCTCTTCTCTAAATCTCCGTTAAATATTTATTTTTCTGTTAATTACTGATGCTATTTCAGCAAGGCATTTGGCAAAGTATTTTTGTATTTTATATCTCACTTATATCCTGAATGTAAAATATATTTAAAAGATTGGAGCCAGCAATGCAGAGTCCGATTAACGAGTAAAAACCTTTGCTCGTTAACTTGGGTGTTGGCAATATTTGTATCAGTATATTTTTGTTTATACACACTTTGACTGGAGGTACCATTAAAACCGCTTTTATAATAAACTACACTTTTAATCTTTCCCCAACTTTCAGCAAATATTCTCATAGAATCTTGATATTTAACAAAAGTTAGTATCCCTAGTGGAGCATGAGTTATGATTAAACATATCCTCAGTTGAGGCATATATTTCTGTCACAATTATATCATTTTTATAACATTTTTGTATTTCATTCTTAAATTCAGGAAGTGAAGAATAAATATCTGCATTTTGTATTATGGATGAGTTTCTAATAATTTGATACTGTTCATCAGAAAGATCACACTGAATTTTTAGGCCCAAGGTATCTTCGGGTTTTATTTTATCGGTAAACATTAGGGTGTCCCAAAAAAATAAAAATGTTCTCTACTGATTCCCATTCTATGTGACCTGAATAAGTCCTAATAAAAATTTGACGGTTTTATTTTGACAGGAAATGCTAGATGTAAAATCTGAGTTTTATTGTTTTAATGTTAAGCTGGCTAAACATTAAGAGAAAACACAATTTCTTTACGTTTTAAAAAATAAAACAAAACAATTAGATGCGTATAAATCATTTCCAATTGTTTTCTACTATTTAACTTGATAGTTTATATTTATAAATATGAAAATACAAAAATATATATATGAAAACTAATATATATTAGCAAATTTAAGATTTTATTGCGGTGAAACATTACTCAAAAAGTACAACTTTTTGAACAGTTCCCAAGCTCCTTTTTACTCTTAGTCAATTTTTTCTAGACTTTTTAACTAAAAAAATACATTTTGAAGGTGATCTTCATCTCTAGTAGCTGAAATAAAATCTTTAATGAGCTTAATGTTTCTTTCTGCACCATCATTTACAATAGATATGTTATTTATCCATGAAATATAATCCAGCAACTGAGGATAGTTAAAACATCTATAGTATTAAGACTATTATTGAGCCATTCTTGTGTACTCGTTCTTGATATTTTAAAATGTTTCAAGAGAAGAAAGCTCTGCTCGGAAATCAACTCAGGTAGCTCTGTGGTCTCTCCAATTTGTACATTTGATGGTTTACAACGCTGAAATTCATTTTGGCTCTTCAAACTAAATCAGAGCTAACAGCATTCTTAGCTTTGTTTCAGAAGGAACTTCTTTGTCCCCAAAGAACAAAACACAGAGTTGCGGAGTTAAGTACCACGTATGGCGTCCCATGCTGAGAAGCAAAACATTTCCAATATTCTTACTAACTTTTCTCAATGCATACGCTGTCTGGATAGCTTTCAAATAGTCTGGATAGCTTTGTATGGAGCCAGAAATCCTAAAAAACCTTTTAAGAACCATGGGACATAGCAAATTGCAATCAACAAACTTGCATCCTTCAACTGCAGCACTTCTTTTTCTGTCTAGATATTACTGATATCATTGGTCATATAAAGAGTCAGGATGTAGATTGCATCTACTAAAAACCTTGCCTCATGGCAGACACCAGGTTAATTGAACTTAAAATCTTGTAGTTCCGCACCAAGGAAGAAGGAGGCAAGCTTACAAACCTTACCATAATCATTCCTTGGAAACACCATATCAGTAGTTGTATTAGTTAAAAATATCTTAACTTCTTCTGCAACAGTGCAAAAAACAGAGCCAATCTTCAGACTATCTCTTTGCCAGTCCAATTTACATAGGTTTTTCACTTCATTGACTTTCTCACAGATTTCAGGCCACTTGTTCTTTAGCTGGACATAGAGAGCTTTTCTCGGACCTTTAGTTTTCTCACCAGTAAAAGCAGCCGTATAGTGAGATACATGTACTTCATATATGTGTCTCCTACACATTATCCACAACATTGATCATTTCAAAATATCTGTAAGAATTTGGACTGCTCCATTGACTCCGCCTGTATTGCTTGCAGTTGTATCACAGCATATACCAATGATCTGTTCTTTACATCTACAATATTCTAAAAGATTGTGCACTTGTTCTGCTTGGTCAACTCCCTTTGAAGAAGGACATTGAACAAGACCTAAAAGATAGTCTTCCATGGTATTGTCATCCGGGGAACTCACTGAGACTGCAAATCGCACAATTTTTTGAATAATATTAAGCCCAGTAATAATTTGTTTCAACAATTTGGTATCAAAATAAAGAATAAACCGTCGGCCATCATCTTAAAGATGATTAGTTATTGAACTCCACTCCAAGTCTCCTTCAACTTCTACATATTTGAACTTTTTCTTATAAAGTATGCTTCGTGAAAAGGGTATATCATTAATTTCTATGCCTCCAGCTTTAAATACTTCATTTAAAATTGCCAGATGAAGTTGTACACCAACATTGAACCTTGTTGCTGGAATAGCAGTATATTCAATGAGCTTTTCAATATTCACTCCTAGATTTATCCTATCTCCAAAATTGTACCTAGGTATCGTTTTAAAATATTTTTTTACCTGTTTATAATTATATACTTTTCAATAAAACAGCTTTAGCTTGTGAAAATTACAACTATGTTATCAAAATAATACTATACCTGCGTTTCCGACCGTTACCCAGGAAATCTTCTTCCTCGCTGATTTCAGAATCCTCGTTTGACTTATCTTTTCTGAGACTGCTCTTCTGTCATGGAGTCATGTGGCAACAAAACATCATTGATATCTTTCAAGTTTTTCTGTCTCTCTAATTCTTTCTCTCTCAACTTATCTAGCTTGTTCTTTCTCCTGTTGGCATCCAGTACTCTCCTACTGTAGTCTTCATCGACATTTGTTCCCATATATCTTTTACTATCCAACTTCTGGTCTTCATAAAAACTAAGAAATATTTAAATTTATTAAGAAATTTATAAATAAACTAATATTTGTTCTAGTTTTTTTTTTTGGAAGATGACCAAACCATGGAAAGAAATGAACGTAAGTATTTTAAAGGAAATAATATGCTATTACTTAGGTTACTTTAAATGGAAAGAAAATCTCACTACTAAAAAAAGTGCTATTTAATGAACTTACTTTATATCTTCCAGCTTGGCATCATCAGTTTTCAATCTATCAGCAAGAATATCTTTTTCAAAATTCTTAGTCGAGATGTCAAAAAAAGTTAATAGGATTCTGTGAGAAAATCTTTCTTTAACTTTGATTGCTTATCAAGGATGCTGTTCCAGTTTAGAGAAGATAATTTAATCAATTCTGGTATTTTAAAATAAGTTTAATGATTTTGGTCTTTATATTGTACCCTATTATACGTATGGAATTATAGCATGGGCAAGTACCCATAAATCCAACCTAGTGGCACTCTAACGACATGAAATAGATGCTGCAAGAATAGTATTTAATAGAGATAACTTTACTCATGATGAACCTTTGCTAAAACTTGCACTAAACGTCTATAAAATTAATTTCTATCAAAACTTGTTGTTCATGCTTAAATATAAACTTAGACTTCTCTCATCACATTTTTAAAAAGAGTTTTTTAAAAGTTTTTTAAAAGTTTTTTAAAAGTTTTTTAAAAGTTTTTTAAAAGTTTTTTAAAAGTTTTTTAAAAGTTTTTTAAAAGTTTTTTAAAAGTTTTTTAAAAGTTTTTTAAAAGTTTTTTAAAAGTTTTTTAAAAGTTT